CTGTGTCTTCTATCTACACCCTGCAGGCGGTCCTCGAGTTGCGACCACAAATGGAACCCCCAAATGTATGTTGCCGAGTGGGCGATGTGTTCGGGGAAGTTTTGTGGCTTTTTGGCTTGCCCCATTTGTCACAGGGATCACCGCCGTTGTTAAGTAACATTTCCGTCGCCGGCAAAAATTTTCATCGCCGGCAAGAAAACTCATACAGAACGGGGCAAAACTCACTTCACCAATGTCTCACTTAACAACAAAATGTTTGGGGCTCAATTTGTGGTCATATGTCGAGGCCTCCCCGTGCTGAGTTGCCGCAAAAATATTTTATTTTATTACCAGCAGAAATATTTGAGACACGTTGCTGTAAGGGAGACGGAAGTGGTGGCCAGTTCTTACTCTGTTGGTTCATAACCATGCAAATATTATTATTTTCATCATCATCATTATTATTGTTGTTGAAATAAATAAACAGAAGTATCTTAAGTATGCAAGCTGCTCTTTATAACTCAGTGCAAAATGTAATCTCCTTTCCTCTTCATTCATTCGTAGCTTCAAAGTTATTTCTTCTGCCTTCCTCAGAATAAATAACTTTGGATGAGATATTGTGCTTCGAATAAAAAGCCCAGCTGTTAAAATGGCTCCCTTTTAAAATAAAAATAAAAACAATTGCTCCGCTGCGCTCCAGCAAAAAGGACAAAGGAAAAAAAGAGCATTTGGAAGTTAAAAAAGATAATTGGAGTGCAATTAAAGTGGAGGAGGGGAAAAACTCCAGTCTTTCCAACCAAGATTTTCCTTCATTGCTTTTCACTGCACACTTCAAAGCTGCACAGAAGGGGAACATCCTTTCTCCAGTCTATTTGTGTCTTTGTGTGTGTGTGTAGCATTACAGCGAATCTCAGAATTTAAGAATAAATTAAGACAATTTAAGAAAAAATGCTATCTTCAATCATAGAATAATAGAATATCTTCCAGCCTCTGTTAGCTCAGCTGCCCTTTGAAACAGAGGTGGGAGGTCTTTTCGCCAGTCTGTTTGTGTGTTTGTGTATCTGTCTGTGTGTGTGTGTGTAACATTAAAGTGAATCTCAGAACGACAGAACTTCTTCATAAATAGAATAGCAGAATATCTTCAAGCTTCTATTAGTTCAGCTGCCAAATGGCACAGAAGGGGAACATCCTTTCTCCAGTTTGTTTGTGTCTTTGTGTGTGTGTGTGTGTGATTAAAGCAAATGTCAATGCTTTTTTTTTGCAGGTGGCATTTCTGGAAATCGATGCAGGGAGTCCAGTTTTGTGTTTTGCAGAGAAAAATTAGAGGGTGGCAAATCCAAGCTTGTGGTGGTGTTGTTGGTTGTATAGTGTGTGTGTGTGTGTGTGTGTGTGTGAAGAAGCTGAACAAGCTTTCCTGTTACATCAGAGGCGTTATCCTTTTCTGGCATTAGAACTGGAGAGGTGGGAAACGGACAGTTTTGGCTTTCCTGAATTCTTTAATTCGATTTTAATTCGAAAACCACACTTGACTTGCTTTTTTTAGAATCTGGATTTTAGGCAACTCGCGTTTGTGAGTCTTTGCGAAGAGTGCTGTTTATTGCAGACCGCAGGGAGGGTTAAAAACCGGCGTCCCAACTTGCAAATTTCAACCTTGTTTTTAATTTTGTTTTTAAGTGTGCTTTCTGCCAGGTCTTTTATATTGTTTTTTTGTTTTTGTTTTAATCTTGTTTGCAAGCCACCCAAAGGCACCTAAGGTGAGATGGGCAGTGTAGAAATTCGATAAGTAAACCAATCCGCCCCGGGTGGTAGTTAATCTGTGGCTTAAAACAAAAGATTCCTAAAAAGTTTGTCTGAAGTCAGTTTTTGTGGCATTAGGCAACCCACGCAAAGAACTCTTTGCAGTTTGTGCTCATCGTTTAAGAAGTGCCTTTTTTTTTTTTAATCCTAAAATTGTGGTTTGTGCAGAGTGAAAAAGGAAGCAAGCGAAAGTATCTCACAAATCGCTGTGAGATGATTTGAGAGGCACGAAATGTAGCAGAGACAGACGGCGTATGAGTCTAATAAATAAATAGATAAACAAGGATAAGGGTTTAGAACTGGTCAGTATTCTACATACTCGGTGTGGCTCTTAGCCAAGTTTTGTGTCAACCCCAGGATGTGCAATGCAATCAAGATAGAACATGCAAGAAGTCGCACTGTTCACTTCTCTCTCTCTCTTTTTTTTTAGACACTTCCTGCATTTCGCTTTTTAAATAATCCTCCCCGTTTCCTGGGTGCTGTTTTTTTGTGTCATCATTCTATTTCTTGTTGAAACGCTCTTGAGAATTAGGGCTCAGATTCTCTTCCTAGGTAACCGAACCTATTTCTCTCTCTCTCTCTCTCTCTCTCTCTCTCTCTCTCTCTCTCTCTCTCTCTCTCTCTCAGAGAATGAAAACTGATCAGAAACAACCTGGTTTGATTTGGTATCTTAAGGTGCCACAAAAGGAAAAACTCCAGTGAATTCTCAGCGTGGCCGTGCTAATGGCCCTATATGTTCAAGAAAGAAAGAGAGATAGAGTGTGTGTGTGTGTGAGAGAGAGAGAGAGAAAGGAAGGAAGAAAGAAAGAGAAAGAAAAAAGAAAGAAAGAAAGAAAAAGAAAGAAAGAAAGAAAGAAAGAGATAGAGTGTGTGTGTGAGAGAGAGAGAGAGAGAGAGAGGAAGGAAGGAAGGAAGGAAGGAAAGGAAGGAAGGAAGGAAGAAAAAGAAAAAAGAAAGAAAGAGAAAGAAAGAGGGAGGAAGAGGAAGATAGAGAAGGAAGGGAGGGGAGGAAGGTGGATACGGAAGGAAGGAAAAATAGGAAGGGAGGAATTTGGTAGAAGAAAACAGGAATGAGGGAGGAATTAGGGAGAAGAAAATTGAAAGAAGGAAAAGGAAGGAAGGCTGGGAAGACGGAAGGAAGAAAAGAAAAGAAAATAGGAAAGGAAGGAAGGAAACTAGAGAAAGAAGACAGGAAAGAAGGAAAGAGAGAAGGAGGGAAGGCTGGAAAGAAGGGAGGAAAGGAAGGAAGGAGGATACAGAAGGAAGGAAAGAAGCTAGCTTTTTTTAGGTAGAAATAGCAGGACTCTTTGAAGCTGAATTCTGAAGTGCTCAGATAAAAGTATAGCTGTTGGCATAATCATATTTGTTTCTCTCCAGAGGCTTATTGATTGTTTCCCGATTCTTATCAACAATCAAAACTGTCCATTTTTCCCCTTTGAAGATTTTCAGCCAAAGGGGAGGGGAAAAAAAAGTTGCTTTTGTTAAACCAGCCGGCTAACTCCAGCCGCTTCCAATTGCTCATTTTTCCATCTGTATCCCAAAGCGGCCAAATGAAGATACCTTCTGCTAAAAAAAAGAAAGAAAGAAAGAAAAAAGAAAAATCATAAATTCCCCAGGCAGGGCCAGCTCCAGAATAAAATATGGTACATTGTTTTAAACAGAGTCGCTGCCTGAATGGTTCCATAACCCTCCGCCTCGGTACAATAAACAAACCTAAAATACAAAAAGGACTTTTTGGTAAGTCAAAGGGCAGCCAGAACTGAACTTCTGCGGGTTTATATTGGGCTTTTCTGCATGGCTGATACTATTTTTAAAACCTCGGTTTGTTAGGGAATAGTCTTTATTTTGGGCAAGGAATGGACTTTTTTTTTTAAGAGCGTGTCAAAGAATTGGTTTTATATCCGGAGACGGTGTCAAATAAATGAACAACAAAGCATTTATCATCGGGAGTGGTCTACCAAAAAGCCCCTTTTAATGGAGCTCCTTAAGCATCTTGGAAGCCAAGAAGTCTTTTGCATCCAGGTCTCCGTTTGATTGAATGGAGCTTTTCTCGGCCTGCCTGTTGAATTTATTAAGCTTGTCTGAATTTAGCCTGAATTGGGGTTGGATTGGAAGACCTCCAAGGTTCCCTCTTCCAACTCGGTTATTCTGTTATTATCTTGTAGAATTGAGCCTGTCTGAATTTATCTTGTCTGAATTTAGCCTGAGCAGATCTGACAAGATCTCCCAAGTCCCTTGGTTATTCTGTTATTATGGAATTGACCTTTTGGAATTTAGCTCGCCTGCCTCTCTGTTGCCTTCATACGCCAAGTATGCTGATTCTAACTTCCTAGGCTGAGTAGACCATGGCAGCTGGCTTGGGAATTCTGGGAGTTGAAGTCCACCAGTCTTAAAGTTGCTGAGGTTGAGAGTCACTGCTCTAGGCCAGGGATCTTCAAACTTGACAGCTTTAAGACTGGTGGACTTCAGCTCCCAGAATTCCTTCTCCTCCAGTCATGTTAGCTCAGGAAGAGAGAGAGAGAGAGAGATGATAAAGTTTGAAGACCCTTGTGATAGATGATAGATGATAGTTTGATAGATAGGTCAATAGGTAGGTAGGTACAGAGAGAGAGAGAGAGAGAGAGATGATAAAGTTTGAAGACCCTTGTGATAGATGATAGATAGATGATAGATTGATAGATAGGTCAATAGGTAGGTAGGTACAGAGAGAGAGAGAAAGAGAGAGAGAGAGAGATGATAAAGTTTGAAGACCCTTGTGATAGATGATAGATAGATGATAGATAGATAGATAGGTCAATAGGTAGGTAGGTACAGAGAGAGAGAGAGAGAGAGAGAGAGAGAGAGAGAGAGAGAGATGATAAAGTTTGAAGACCCTTGTAATAGATGATATGTGATAGATAGATGATAGATTGATAGATAGGTCAATAGGTAGGTAGAGAGAGAGAGAGAGATGATAAATAGATAGGTGATAGTTTGAAGACCAGGGGTCTTCAAACTTGACAGCTTTAAGACTTGTGGACTTCAACTCCCAGAATTCCTCCTCCAGTCATGTTCAGGAATTCTGGGAGTTGAAGACCACAAGTCTTAAACTTGCCAAGTTTGAAGACCCTTGACCTAGGCAAATATCTTACAGAGCATTTTTCTTTCTGTTGTACATCAGGATCAAGATTTTTCTACCTGGATTTTTGATGGATTCCCCCTCCCCCTTTTCTCTCTCTGTATAGGCTGTTTAGTCTGACTTTGAAGAAACTCATCATGCTAAAAGAGATGGATAAGGATCTCAGCTCGGTGGTGATTGCGGTCAAGCTGCAGGTATGTCATATAGTGAGGAATGAGGACATAGCAACTACTTATTGGTCTTAAGAGTCACAGAAGTTACTCACTCTGCATTGCTTAAGACTAATCTGGTCCAAAGAGGAAAATAGCCGTCGCTCTTAGACTTACATACTGCTCCATTGTGCTTTGCAGCCCTCGCTAAGCAGTTTATAGAGTCAGCATATTGTCCCCAACAATCTGGCTCCTCCTTTTACCGACCTTGGAAGGACAGAAGTTTGAGTCAACCTTGAGCCGGCCAGGATCAAACTCCTGGCAGTCGGTAGAGTTAACCTGCAACCCTGCACTCTAAGCACTGGGAAGGGAGG